GGGTCGTGGGATCGAGCCCCGCATAGGGCTGCCTGCTCTGCAGGAAGCCTGCTTCTCTCTCAGCCTCTGCCCCTGCTTATGTTCCCTCTCTCACTGTCTCTCTCCCTCGCTCTATCAAATGAATAAATAAAATCTTAAAAGAAAAAAGAAAAGAAAAAACTCTTTCAATCTTGCATGATGATTAAGTCCTGCAGAGCACTTGGGGCTGTGACTTACCTTCCAGAAGGGTATCTGCCCTCGAAGATCACGTGTGGTACAGAGACAGGTGTGGAAACAAAGGGTAGAATTTTACTGGCCAGTGCAGATAGATTATTTCACTAATGAGCAGCCGAATTGGTTTGAGAATTAGGACACTTGGTTTCTGGAGATAATTGGACAATAGGACATGTCAGTTACACCAAGGACCTTCCATACTCAACAGCTCTTAGAGGAGTATTGGTAGCTTGATAACCCTTAACAACAAGGAAGTAAGACACTCACTTTTACATTCCTTATTAGTCCTACAATTTCATGATAACAGAAGGTTATGCAGTCTTAGCAATAAACCTAGATAACAGAGAATATGGACAATTACCGGGATATGTTCCTTCAATTAGGTGACTGTTTCTGCATTCAGTGTGGGGATTTCTCTGATCATGAGTAGAATCAACACTACTAATCTATCCCTTGGATTCCAGGGATAGACTTTCATTAAGCCATTTATGCATTTTTTCAGCTATCATTCTGTGCTTTAAAAAAAGTTATGGAAACAGTACTAGAGAAGGAGACATGAGATAAGAATTTGAGGCTCAGGACTGCCATTAGTCTGTGTTATAGCCATGGGCAATCACTTCACTTCTATAGGTCTATTTCTTCAACTCCAAGAAGGAGGGGTTGAATTGACTGGTCTCTAAACCCGTTGCAGCTCTAAAAGTCTAGAATACTTACCAAGGTTAGCACTGAACAGTCACTGGATCTATGAATACTATTAAAATGATGAGGTCTTGCCTTTTAAAAATGCAGTTGAGGGAAAAGCATTTTTCCCCTCATGGCTCTGGGACTGTAAATCATTTGTTCTGCTAAGGTATATAATCGCCTGACGTGGGGCAATATAGTTTGTTCTATGCATTTGAAATGCCACATTAAATGCTAGATGGGTATGTTGTTAAAAAAAAAAGTAAACCTTCTGATTATATTATCTTCCTTATTAAAACGAAAACTGAGCTTACAATTAGCATCCAAGTAACACAACCATGTGAAGTATTGTGTTTTTTCCTAAGGAAGTAACAAGTGATTCTCTTCTGATGGCTTTATACTTCTGGAAAGGTCAGCAAAGTCCCCAATTCAGACTCTTGCTCCCACAACGGCTGGTTCATTTCAAATCCTCAAAGTGTAATCTCCTTATACACTTTCCTCTTTTCACAATGGTCACAGTTCTCTAACCATATAATAAAAACCATGCAAATCTGAGTATTGCTTATGTCAAAGGCAGGCTTATTTGAATAAGGGGACCAATGTTCATTCACTTCAGTGTGAATGCAGCTTGATGTAGTGTTTTCCAGTGTGACTAGCTGAACTGCCATCATCAGAGCCTACAACAGAGATTGCTATCCTTAGAGGTCTGATCTGTGACACCTGTGGCATCTAACTGTGTTCTCAGTTCTAGATAGAGCAGCTTCTCCTGCTTTATTCTTGGGCCAGCCATTGAATATTATCTGATGTAGTCTTTACAATCGGTATGTTTAATTTGGATTTTTGCTTTATTTTTTCATCAGGATTCAAAATGTAAACCAACAAATTTCATTGAAGTCTAAAATAGGTTTTCTGTGATTCATATACATCACTGAAAAATAGAGGGTTACAGGTATGATTTTAAACACACACACACACACACACACACACACAATGACTCTATGTGCATATATACAAACATCCTTCCAAATTGGTTTTTCTTTGATAGGTTTCATAGCAAGGTAAGATATACTCTAGAAGTTTTCTAATTCACATTACCATCATAACAATATAAATCATTACTACTTAGTCATGAGGCTAACTTAGAAAAGACTCAAACATTCATTTTAAAACTCTTTTTAAATTTCCTTGCTTTTTTTCTAAAATTCTGCAGAATTAAAAATAATATTTACTCTTATTTCTAGCTTGCATGTTTTTAACGCTGATTTCAGCAAATTGTGGCCATTTTCAATAGTCCATTTGCCTAGAGCCTTGGATGGAATTGGAATATGTTTGTTTTTTACAGATGTTAATTAACTTCTGGAATACATATACATCAGTGATGAGTGAGTTTGGTTGAATTCTTCAATGTTTAGCTGCTGGATGAAATCTTTCAGTTGGCTAGAACCAGTGAAATTGGCCAGAAACTTGTGTGACAAGTTTGAATTTCTCCTTTGTCATTCTCTTCTCTATCTGTAAATCTTAGATGACAAATTTCTCAATATGGGAGAAATTACACTTTGTATTTCCACTAGAATTGGGAAGCTGAGGGTAAAGAGGAACAGGAAATGGAAGCAGGGAACATTAAGACTACAGAGAAAAATAAGTTAAGTGATTCTCTCAAAATGCTGATTACACTGGAAATCATCCAATTAGGTTTCCAAATTGAGAATACTGGTTTTTTTGTTTCCCACTTTTAGAAAAAAGGAGGCAAGAGACAACAATAGAAAGTGGGGTTGGGGTTCAGTTAAGGAAAAAAGGGGGGAAGGGAGAGGAAGGAAGAGAGGAGAGGGGAGGCCCCCCCTCACCCTTCCAGAGGAAACACTGACTTTTCTACACACACCTCCCACAGCAGGGTACCTGTAGGCGTGGCAAAGTCTCTTTCATGGAGAGGCAGGGGAGCCAGGAAGGGGGCAAAGCGTCTTATTAGTAAGGACTAAAACAAATCGATTTAACCCTCCATTTACCAGAAAATGAAATAAATTATGGCATTCCCTGAAGCATTCTGATAATCAAGTGTTCCTTTTTATTTAAAAGTGAAACTTCTGTGTCAAAACAGGGGGGAAAACCATCTGTATTACAATTTTAACATTTGCATCTGTTTATTTTTCTTTGAGTGGGCATTTCCATCCATCGTCCGCTCAACAAAACCTGACATACCTAGAACTGAAAAGCACACAAGGAAAAAACAGGAGTGTTGATGGAAGTGGCCATTTTCTTGGCTCTGAGTATTGGTGTTAACCAAATGGCAAGCAGAGAGCAGCAAAGAGGCTTTTGCCCAGGATGGCCCCATTTAATGAGAACTTATCATGGGACCCAGCACTGGTAAAGACCTGCAAAGGGCTGCTGACGTGAAATGCATCATCACTTTCATCCTTCAAATCATTCTGTCAATTGAATCATTTGCAAGGATATTTTTGGTCTCTTGGCTACTCTGTCAGCAAATCAACCCTCTCATATTTAATGAGCAATGAGTGTATGGAGAACAATGTCATCTCAAGATGGGACAGAAAACTATTTCTCTGCGTTCATTCCCTCCTGGTGTCCCTGCTTCCTCATTTTTCTCTACCTAAAAAGTCATTAAAAAAAAAATTCAAAAGTACCTACATTCACAGGAGTCCTAGTCTATGGCCAGGACAATCCTTGTGATACTTTTTGCAAAATCCTGATATAATATATTGTATTTGGCACTGAAATCAATTGGTTACTAGTCTACATAAATGTATTTTATACAAATTCTATACAAATATTAGCAGAGGGAAAGATCTGGAATATATCAAAGCAATGAACAAATTGCAGATCGTCTGCTAAGGAGATGTCAAAATGTGCAGGCAATAGCCCAGTGGGGTGGTCACAGGTATCACATAGGACAGCATATGTATAAGGACTTTAAATGACAAAGCACTTTGGACATTAAGGTCATCATTAGTGTTGTTATTCTAGTATAACAACTGATACACTGTGGGGAAAATGAACCCCAAGAAGGCAAAAGCTCTGGTCAGATTGAATACAAGGAATCATTTCCTCTCCATGTCTAGCGGTTGGCACTTGGCAACGATAATGTACTGTATGGAGAGATGCAGCTGAGCCTATAAAGTAGAAATCTGAATATACAAATATATATTATGAAGTATGGTAGGATACAAATTGATGTAAAAATATGCTTTGCTTTCCTTGTTTCATCATTTTAAAAAGCATATATTTTTGTGTTGTTGGCTGTCGAAGCACAGTTAGCAAACCCTTTTGGTTATGTTTTAAGAACGCTTTCACAGTATATGTTATTACAGTGTTGGTATCTTACATATTAAATAGCTTTCTGAAATATTTAGGACTCGACCAAAAATAACTAAGCAGTAATAGAGATCACTCTAGTGACGTGTTTATATTGTTTGGGGTAGTGAGAATGGAGTGGTGAGAGTGAAAATTCCTCAAGATTTGCTAGTTGGCCCATTTTGAATTAAGTGTTTGAATTGTTGAAGAATCCTGATGGGTGGGATGTCCGTGATATCTTCATTGTTAATTAGGCAATGGCCTGAGGCTTTAGCTATAGGAGGTACTGTAGGACCATGGTCTGTCAGGAAGAGATTCCTTCCCTGCCTCTAGGTTAACTAGTCACTGCGGTACGATACTTGTACCCAGAGAGCATTTCTTGGGTCAGTGTTTGACAATCAACCATTCTTCAAGATGGTGGAGCTGCTCAAGTTCAAGAGACCAGAGAGTCAATAACTTTGCCTCACGAGGCCAAATCCCATGGCTTCTGAAAGTTACTCACTGTTCAAGAATTCTGGGCAGCTATCTTGAAGGATAATCTTCCCATTTCTTAGGTCACTGCTGTCATGTTACTGGCCTTCATTGCAATTCCAGTTAAATTATAAAGTGCAGTATGTAATGTTGAACCTTCAGAAAGAGTGTAAAGAGCACATCCACCCTCCATGAAATCCCAAGTTCAAATTACTGGCAGAGTCACCATCCATATCGGAGAATGTACAGAAACTTGGTCATTGTTGCTGTCTTTATCATCACCATCATCAGCATCATGAGCATCACAGTTGTGGTATTATGATCATGTCAAGTGTTGTGGCAAGATCAGAAAAAACTAACATCAAGACACTGTCCAGTTTGGGTGTGTGAATATTATCCTGTGTTTCTTGGCCCATTTAGCAAACACTTTCTTTTCAGTGATAAACCTATGCCCCCCATATGGAGCATGTTCATGAAGAAAATATTCATCACACTCATCTCTTCCTTGTTCATAGTAATGATAGGGAACTTTTCTATATCCTTCTGTCCTAAAAAAGAAAAAAAAAGAAAAGAAAAGAAAAGGAGAGAAGAACTGAGATGAAGAATGGAGCATTCATTTGCAAGAATCCATTATGTGCCTAGTAAATGCATTTACTTGCAAACCCATGCATGATTCTTGTCCATGAACTCAGTTAAAAGCTATTATGTATAAAAGCTTTTAGGAAGATTTACCAGATCCTTAGTGCCTTAATAAATCAAATAAAATTTATATATCACACCAATTGCATTCAAACATATACCTATCTTGGAAGGAGGAAACAGTGTATAATGGGGGCAAACTTCGGAGGGCCTGATGCTCTTACAGAGCTTGAAGAAGCTTTGTGATTTTTCACGGTAAGATATTTGGTACATTTGTGCTTCATTATACTTAGGGTAGAAATATTTGATCATGAAGATTGTGGCTTAGTTACCATTTTGACAATATGATTAAAATACTCTCTGAGTTACATTATGCCAATTGTTAATGTGGAAGTATATTTCATTACCTTGATGAAGCAAGGAGGGTTTGTTTTATTAAATAATTAGAAATGATCCCTCCAGCAGGTATATACTGTAGATAAACATATCTATTTTAAATATGGATCTGTCAGATTACTCACTTATTAGTAAACTATAATTTCCAGGAATTCTTGCTAAGCTGTCAGCTTCTCTGAGGCTTCAGGACATTTTGTCCTTCATGATCAAATATAACCATTGAGTAGCTAGCTATCCATCAAGCCATTAGAGCGGCAGAAATGACAAACTTGCTTTGCAAATTAAATTACCACTAAACTTGCTCTGTATTTCCAAGCCACAAATCCCTGATATGCCACTGATTAAGGGGAAAATGTTCCTTCTGACATTTGACATTAGATTGTGGTAAATATTTTTCTTTTTATCATCCCTAAAAGTCACAACTTGATGCACTGGCAATAAAATGTCATGTCAGCAAAGAACACCAGGAAATAATTGTCGCTTTATCTGTTTCTCCGATTTATGGTATTAAAATGAATTGTGATATTTTGACAAGATATCAGAATTGGAGATGCATAAAAATAATTTCCTGTGATCTTACTTGCAGTAGGTGTCATTTATCATCCCGTAGACGTGAATGCCATAACAGGCATCCATGGCCAGAATGAAGGTAAACCACCCTGTGCTGAGATAAGAGCCAGACTGGACTCTGTGGGGGGAACAGAAACAAACAACAACAAACAAAACAAAACAAACAAAAAACATACACAGAACAACAATAAAGTGTGGTGAGAAATGAGCAACCTTTTATCAAAAGCATAGCCCTTGTTATCAGGAAAAAGCATTAAGAAACTTGACAACCTGTTGAAGATACACACTTACTTTGAATTATCTCTGAATAATTTATAGGCATGTTCTCACTCTTACTACCTTAAGCCTAGAAGCTATGCTGTATGGAAGAGAAGCCATATGGCAAATATCTGAAGTCAAATAATCCTGCTCCCTTCGGGTAAAAAATAATTTATTTGATTTTCCGTAAGACACAGTTTAGTGCTGTATATCAGAGGACAGGTTTTCTAAAGTTGTTTGGAGCCCTGATGGGAACTGAATGATAATGGTGTTATTTTGCTTACCTGGACATATCACTTTCTTTAAGACTTGTTGGGTTTCTAAGTATAAATTGGATGCAGTGTAGGTGAATGACTTGCTCTATGAAAGTATCTGAAAAGTTTTCCTTCACTGATTTCTAGGCATCATGAGACAAGACTTTTCCTTTGTAAGACCTATGTTACCAATCTCTTCAACACATTTTTATTGAACACCTACTATGTGCAATTACTGTCGTAAATGCTGGCGATATGGCAATCATCAAAACAACCAAAGATTTTCTCTTCATAGATTTGGAGGTGGCTATGTTTATGAAGGTTGGCCTCAGAAGGCCTCTTTGATAATGGAAGCAAAGATCTGGGTTGGGGTGGGAGAAGAAGGTTGCTGTTGGTGCTGGGGTGGGAATAGTAAGAAGCCATGTGGAACATACTGGAAAAGATGGTCTCTCATGTGCAGTCTTTCAACTCTCATCTCGGCCGCATTAAGAATGGGCTTTGACAGGTCATGACCAAGCCCCATGTCGGGCTCTCTGCTCAGTGGGAGGCTGCTTCTCCCTCTGCCTGCTGCTCCCCTTGCTTGCGTGCTCTCTCTCTCTGTCAAATAAATAAATAAAATCTTAAAAAAAAAAAAAAGAATGGGCTTTGAGCCTGGACCACTTCCTTTATAAGAGATCCTCACATCCTGTGCCTGGTTATTGTCTTGTGTGGGGCTATCTTTCCCTGTTTCAGACTCAATGTGTACTCCTTTGTTCTGCTTAGGTATACATGTTACATGACACCTGGTCAACTGCATACTATATCTATCCCCTGCCAAGAGTGGACAGGGTCCTTTGGTTGCCTGCAGGCCAAAGGCTCTGAATCAGTTGCCAGGAAGGACCCAAAGGCCATGAGGACCAAGGCTCATTATTGGAGCTGATCTTGTTCTATCTCCTCTCTATGTGAGTAAAGCATTTCTCTATCCAGTGTTTGTGTTGTGTTTTTCTTGGCAGTTCAAATAAGACACAGTGGGAAGAAGTGCTTGGACTTCTACCTCTGGTGATAGGAGACAGATGCCACTTGCTCAACAGACCATATGAGAGGAAAGTGTTCCAGGAAGAGAAAATGTAAAGGGTAAATCATAAAGATGGAAGTGTGCTTGGTATGTTTAAGGAAAAGAGGGGAATCATAGTAACCGAAGGGGGAGAGTGGCCGATGCAGTTAGGTATTGTGTTGATTGGAATGGTCTGCCAAATTTCAATGGCTCAAAGGAATACTGGATGAAAAGCTGTATCTCCATACTTGGCTTTAGCCAAGGGGACCCAATCCATCCAAAACAGATGACTGTCTATCTCCTTAATCTCCTCCCATAGGAGCATTTGGGTCTCACCAGGTTATCTGGCAACTGTGCAGCACCATTTCTAAAAAAGACTACATTTCATACCTTCCATCTAGACTTCCTGGCATGCTGGAGCATTGCCAGCTCTTCTAGAAACTGACACTTAGCCACTGATAACCACTCTCTGGGTACAGCCCTCCAGCCAGTAGTCACTTCCCACTGATGTCCTGTATTGTTGATGTAGTTCTCCAGTACCAAGCCATCAATGTGCTATACTTAGAACCCTGGATCCTTTGATTCTTTTTTTTTTTTTTTTTTTTTACAGGCATTGTTTAGTATCAGTTGACTTACAACATGTAAGCATTTCAGGAGCAACACAAGCTCGCAGAGGGGTATGATAACTGGATTTTCTCACTTCTATTTTAATTGACTTTGGATGCTTTTTAAGGAGAGACAAAGCCAGTCCATACATATCCATCCCCTCTGCTCACTTGCCACTGAGTCTGAAACGCCACCGTGTAAGTTGTCTTCCTGGTGTGTCTTCTAAATGGAAAATATTCCAGAAACAGGATCACATGGAGTTACATGCACTTTCCTCCGGGATAAGAATAGTAGCAGCAGCATGGGTTAGGAATGGGTGCCAAATGGGAGGGGGGATATGCCAGAGGGAGGTGGGATACACTCAAGAGCAACTTTGCTTATTATACAATTTAACTTGCCATCCGACCTGTCTTCTGAGGTCTGAGGGAGAGCACCAATGATGAGATCTGCTTCACGCACCATCTGCTTAAATGTCCTTATTTGAAAATTGGGAGAGATCAGAAGACGCAAGAGTCTTGATTAAAAGCTCCCAAATTGAATCTAGAAATTTTGTCTGTGTACTGACTGTTTTCCAGTTATATTCCTATTTGAACGGTATACCCCTTTTACCTCTTTTTGCCTTCTCATTCTACGTGTTTCAACCTTTCTATCCCCTCTAACCTTCTTCATTACTAGGCTGACCACGCACTAGCAGAGATCACTAAAAATTACAACGTTTATTTGTACACAATAAGAAAAGTAGGTCTCACTTATTTGTTTTACTAACAGACATTGATTGCAATCCTATGCCAGAAGTTAGTGGTGAAAATATATACACATATGTGTGTGTGTGTGTATATATATATATATATATATTTTTTTTTTTTTTTAAGTGCACGTGGAACCCAATACAGGGCTTGAACTCACAACCCTGAGATCAAGACCTGAGCTAAGAGATCAAGAATCAGACACCTAACCAACTGAGCCACGTAGGTGCCCTGTGATGAATATTTTCTTAAAGAATACATGGTCTAGTGGGGGGTAGCACACCTGTCAAGACCATCACAATACATGTAACAAAACACAAGCCCATGTGTTTCAGAGTCAGTACAGAGTGCAGTATGAAACTGAGAGTGTGGATACCTAGTTTCACATTCCAGCTTTGTCACTACCAAGCCTTGGACAATGTATTTAACCTCTTTGGGTCATCTTAGTTCCCTGTCTCTAAAATGAGATGGTTGAACTAAGTCATATCTAAAATTTGTTCCAATTTTAAAACCAAATGCTTCTGTGATTGTCACCCTCAACAGTCGATCCGTTTTAAGCTTTGCCCATTCTACAGTAATATGCTCCACACATGCTGAATGTGTAACTAACAAACATGTTCATCAGTCAGATCGCCTTTAATGCCCACTTGTGTGGTGGGCATGCACCTAAATATATAAAGAGGGTGTAAAGTTTTACCTCACAATGGTGGTAGCTATAGTCGCTAAACTCTTCCCTCTTTCACACTATTGCTCATGGAACGTGCTGGAATGGCTGTCCAAGACCAAGGACACAATGAGATCATGGTATTCAGAGTAAAGCTTAATTTGAGTGAGAGAAAAAGTAAACCAAAATTAGGGCAAAATGTTGTTCTTTTTACGTGGTTTTCTAGGTGTCAGTGTGTCCACAGAGTGGCTGTCAAGGACCAAGATAATATTATAGCTCGAGCATAAAGTGTGGTGAGGGGGAGGTCATTTGTGTGACGTGTGGACCTCTACTCTGCAAAACAAGTTCTCCTGGCTCATTCTGATCCAGATAGTCACGTTGAGTGTTCAACAGCAAACTTTCAGAATGGAAGCAAAGGATAAATAGGGTACAGTTGTCAGAGTGGTTCCTCTACATAATCTGTCTTCTCTTCACCCAGGAAAAGAAGGTCAAGAATTTCAGAGTTTGGCATCTGGTCAAAGATCTTTCCATCTTACTCACTGATAAGGAAATTTTACCATGTCTCGGATACTTGATGACTTTTAAGCCTAACCTATTACTTTTAAGCAAAACCTCATTTTGTTTCTGGATAGACAGATCATAATAGTTAGGCTGAAAATCTTCAAGTAAGCTGTGTTGCATTTGGTTCCGACTGCGGGGACTCATACTGCTTAAGTGCCCTGTCCTAAAAACAGCACTTTAATTAGACAGTTGCATTTTTCTCTCTCTGGTGCCTCTGATAAATTTGGGATGTAAAATCATGTGAGGTTTCTTACCCATAGTACATGCTGGGGATAGCAAAGTGGTTTCTTCTCAAAATACTTGGAGCTAATGTCATCTACAGAATACTTACAGTGGCATAATGGCAACTACTAGATTAATCCAGAAATTCTTCTGAAAAATGGCCTTGGTGATCTGGGTCCCTAATGGAACTCACTGGCCTGGATGGCACTGGCTCTGGGAATTCTTGTAGCTAAACCACTCCAAACTCCTGCTGTGTGGGTGTACTAGAAATGAGGATGTATAAATTATGCCCAAGTAGACCTCTGGGGGTTCAATAAAAACAACAAAAAGACTTGAGCCAATGTATGTGAAATTGTTTATGCTTTTCAGCTAGAAGGGACCTAGGGATAACTATCAGATGCTTTTAAAAATTCTTAAAGGGTCTCCTCTGGGGCCAAATACTGTCTTGTAATTTGTCACTCATGCACGCAGCACTAACTATGTACCAGCTGGCCATCAGCCATGGCACTTTTTATACCTTCTACATTTGGGGATCGATAAAAACAATTATTGTCATCTACAAATAAACAATCAAGATTCCCATAGGGATGATAAGAGAATTTAAACCCCTAATTCAATACAATAAGAAAGCTTAAATTAACGTGGCAGAATAATGAGCCATGCCGAGGAAAATAAAGGCAGAAGTGTTAAGAGGAAGCTATCAATCATTTGTTTCCACTGGCCAAGCTTTGCATCCCACTGCTCCTTGGTAATCAAGATACTTACTACTTGGAA